ATAGAATATGGCTAGATCTTGAGTTTAATCTTCATTTCCTACCCTTATTGTTGATTGCATGCATAGGATTCATAAAGTTTGCAACTTTATGAATCTCTATAATCGAATGGTCCCAAGGTGGGCTAGATCTGGCCTATGGTTGAGCAAGGACACCATGCAAGGGTTTTAGGGAATATTCCCTCTTTTTGGCCATTTTGACCTAGGGACATGCATGTCCATAAAGCCTCCATCTTTGGAACGTTTTGAGGACTAGAAACCTTTCTTGAAAGGAAGGATTTCAGATCCCTAGTGGTTTGGACCATATGGCAAAGCTTTGGAGCTTTCCAACATTTTTTAAGGGCATTAGAGCATTTGGAAGGGTTCTAGAAGGTAAATTTGGAAACTTTATCCTTTTAGGCATCCTAGGGATTCAGATCTAAGCCCTAGAGTCCCTAGATTCGGTGTGTCATCACAACAAGCAAACAGAAAGGGGGACACAACGAGTTGCTCTAGGAACTCGACGAGTCAGATCAACTTTCCCCGCCTTCTGAATATCAAGTGAACTCGTCGAGTTGATGAAACAACTCGGCAGGTTGGCTAGGGTTTGATCAGGTTGTTTGGACTCGGTAGGAACTCGACGAGTTGCTAGATGCACTCGACAAGTTGAGGTCAACATGGACTGTTGACTTTGACTGTGGACCTTGACTTTGACTAAGGTTGACCTTGAGGGTAATTCTGGGATTTTGAGAAGTTTGTCTTATGATGCTTACATGTAGTTAAGTTGGAGCAATACATGGGACATATATGGTTCTAGCATTGTCAGTTTCAACATTCGAGCGAGGTGAGTCTTCTCACCATACCAATGGGTCTAAGGCACCAAGGCTGGCCCATTTTATGTAATGTGGTATAGTAGCATTGTAGAGATATGTGGTATGATAGTTAGTTTTGTGCTAAGTAGTATTTCAATGATTGTATGTTATTGCATGGAAGACCCCCGAAGGAGCATGTGGTAGCTAGATATAAGACCATGTGGGGTAGCCTATGGCATTCCTAGGTAAAGACCATGCGAGGTAGCCCATGCCACAATGGTATAAGACCCCGGAGGGAGCCCATAACATCCTTACACATTTATGTATGTGTATGTAGTATGTTAGAAACTTTTGTGATATGATATGCTAAGTTGATTATGTATGTTATTGCATAAAAGACCCCAGGAGAAGCTCGTGACAGTTGGATGTAAGACCATGTGGGGTAGCTAATGCCATTCCCAGACCATGTGGGGTAGCCCATGGCACGGATATATAACACCCTAGGGGAGCCTATGACATCCTTACAAGTTTATGTATCCATGGCTTATGTGGTATATGTATCTTCATAGCTAATATGATATGTGTTATGTGGATTGTGTGCGGGGTATGCTCTGGGGAACTCACTAAGCATTAGCTTACATGTTGTGGATTTGTTTCAGGTACATCGGATCCCAAGTGCAAGGGCAAGGCGTGATGGCGCGGCATGCACTCTCACACAGGCATTTTATGGACGCTCTAGTATTTTAAATAAAAGTTGTAATTGATATGAGTTTGAAAACAGTTATATATGAGATTTTGTAATTTATGGAAATGTGTTTGGATAATCAAAAATGAAAATTTTCCTTTGAAAAATCGGGTCATTACACACAATAGCATTACTTAAATTGAAATTTAAATGGTCTAATAACAATATTCTAAATAATTAAAGCACAAATGTCTTCGAAATTTAAGAAGTCTAAATGTTGTACTAGTACAACTAAAAACATAAAAGTACAAAACTTATATTTGTTGGGAAGAAACAAGAAACTTGATTGAAAATGAACCTTATATATGAGTTCTCCTTTTGTTAATATCGCTAACAAATAATTCCTTATCAAATCACATAAAACAAGTAAGAATATCATTAATAAACCAGACACTTATATTAAATTAATAATATATGTTTGGTTGGATGTAATGGAATGTGTAGAAAGGAAATATGACCGTAATGAGGGAGAATAAGGAAAGTACTAGAACGAGTTGATACATACCATGATTATATCCATTTGGCATGTGTGATATGACCTTCCATTACCGTCAATGATCTTTAATAATGAAGAGACCATATAACAACCCTCATTGATAACATTCCAAATACAAATACTATTTAGACGAGTGAAAAGAATGTATAAATCAACATTATACTTTTCAAGCTCCAAATGAATGTGACTGATTGTACTCGAAGTGCCTCCCGGAATAGATATTGATCTAATAGGAATAATATTTCCATTTGTACTATGAAGAGAGTACAATCTCCTTCCGTAGAGATATTTGCTCATTTCTACACATCCACCAACATTGAAAAAGTTAAGCAAGGTTAAAAGCACAAACACTTACAATATTTGGTATCTCATTTTCATATTATATAAGGTCTTTTTCCATGGTATATACATGATCTTGTTGCCCTCCAAAACAACCCTAAAAGGAGTAGGGTTTACTCTCGAGTGTCTTGATGATTGTCATATGAGCTTTATAAAGATAATAAGGGGTCCACATGCTAACAAGGACAACTTTATGTAAGGTAAGTATACCACCATATAAGAGATGCCTCACATTCCAACTATATATTTGTTTTGAAATTTCTTTATAAGAGGTGTTCAATGACTTGTCATGGTCATCCTAGCCCCCATTGTGATGTCAAGATAACTGAAAGGGAATGATCCTCGACTATAATTTAACCAACGTGTCCAGTTTTGCAATTTCCTCAACACTCAGCCCAACACCAAACACGTTGCTTTTGGTGAGGTTAACCTTAAGATTGGAAGCGAGAAAGAAACATGTCTACACTCTCATGAGATTTAGCATAATCTCTTTAGACTAATCCAATAAATGTATTCTCTTCTACACATTAGAATATATATAGCTTTGTCTTGTTATTAGGAAGATCAAATCCTTTGTAAATAAATTTCTCAATAGATTTTGTCAATGTCACTCCAAGGCCTTCCACCAGAATAATGTAAATGAAGGAGAATAGAGGGTCTCATTGGCAAACACCTCTATCAAGATGAAACTCTTTTGTAGGGTTGTCATTAAGAAGGACAGAGAATTTTGCCAAAGTTATACGAGCATTGATTCAAGAGATTCATTATTAAAAAAACGCATCAATCTCGTCATATTCATCAAGAACGATCGAGTTATTTTGTTATAAGCCTTGTAAATATCTACTTTGAATAAACATTTTTTTCTTTTTGTCTTCTCCTATAAAATAGTTTCATTCACTACATTCACTATAAGTGGACTATCAAGAATGTTTCTTTTATGTAAATAAATCGATTACTCCTTGCTTATGAATAATCACCTTACAAACATTATGACTAATGGCACCCCATAACTTTTTTTAGGAATGGAAGGTGAAGTCGTACGGTCCTAAGATTTTTTCATTGCCACAAACCCACTCAACCGAGTTAACCTTTTCGATATCAAACTTATCAATCAGGATTCTTTGATATTTTTCTAACTTTGTTCTGTTGCAAAAGAAATCATTTGTATTTGGTTCTATGAAATTATATTTAAAGAAGTGGTAAATCTCTTTTCACTTTATTCTGACAGTCCACTCACGATCGATTGATATTAATTTCATATATCCTCACAAGTTCTTCAAGATAAAATTCAGGATCTCATGAAAAAAACTTGAATTTTTGTAAATCTCCAATATCCACGGCCATGAATACCGGCATCATGAGATTCATTAACCCAACAATATCATGTGTTGTCCTTCATTTTTTAGGTTGATAGTGCAACTCTCATCTATGACATATATAATATTAGCAGCTAGCTTAGGAATATATTAAATTTGCCATTTAAAAAAAATTGACATATGTTTATCCATCGGTGTTAATTTGGCCAAACAAGTTTTATTTTTTATTTTATGTTTTGTAGATGTTTTTTGTAATCAATAACTTTAATATGTTATGAAATATTTTAGTACATTATGCGTTTTATATAGGGATCCCTTTTATATAATAGTAGTTTTTCTATATATACTACTGTTTTTCTGTATTTAAAGTACTTTTTATGAATTAATTCTTTGTAATAAAAAATAGCAACATGGTCGACAATATTAAGGCGACAACGAACAATATTAGCGACACTATTAGTATTATCTTGCAACGACACCTAAGTATTTGCAACAAAGCATTACACATAACATTCATAACATTCATGTCGTCGCTAAAGGCAATAGCCGTTACAAATTATATATTGTATTACTGGCAATAAATGTAGCCCTTAGTGCCCGTATTTTTGTAGCGAAAATATAAATATAAAAATACTTATATTCAATGATGATATATGATACTTGTAAACTTTGACTTGGAGAAAATTTATTTTTTAACTTTTAGCTAAAGTTTACCAAATTTGTTACATTGTTAACTTTATTATAGGCCTAGATATTGTATGATTTATGCAAAAATAAATGATTTTTATTTTTATTTTTCAGTAAATATGGCATTATGTTGAATAGTTGCTTTTATATATATATATATATATATATATATATATATATATATATATATATATATATATATATATATATATATATATATATATATATATATATATATATAATAGAGAAAATCTCTCACCGAATATACTATTCAATGTCTTTCTAAATATTTTGCATTAATGACGAAACTATCTTGAGTAATAAAACTAAGAGACATGATTTCTCTTCACGAACTACGACTGGCTACAATGAAAGATGACTAGGAGTCTAAGATGAACATTATGTTTCCTTCAAATCTAGAGATATAATTAATTCATCACCCATTATATTTGCTTAATTATGTGCTAGTTTTACTCCATGCAATGATTACAGTGGACATTGTTTCCATGTATATCAGATCTCATGCATTTAAGTCTCTCTTTATTTAAACAAGCATGCTTTCCATTTGATCTGCATCTTGCTTCAGATCTCTCTCCATCTCTATTACGATCTCTCAATCTGTTCAAATAATGGAAGAACATAAACCAGAGCCATGCCCCTCCGAGGCGTCAAGCATATCGGCAGAAGGAGAAAGCTTGAAGAACAAGACCTCCGATAACAAAGCGGTCACAGAGGGTTCTTCTGATATTCAACTCAACAGGAGGGCCGTCAATCAGTCATCTTCTAGGGCTTTTCTTGATCTCAAACTCTCAAATGTAGAAGACAAGAAAATGGAGCTCAATCTCTTTAACCCTTCAAGGGTGGTGGAGGGGGCAACTTCATCTCAGGCAAGTGAGTCTTCGAAGGAGGAGACTCGGGAAAAGTCTAGGGTTTTCTCTTGCAATTACTGTAAGAGAGAATTCTCAACCTCTCAAGCCCTCGGAGGTCACCAAAATGCCCATAAACAGGAGAGGCAAATTGCCAAGAGGCGGCAAATGGAGGTTCCGCCTTATGGCCACCTAATGCCACCACCACCACATTATGGTAATTTTACGTACTACCCTTCGTTTAGTAATTTGACGAATACCTCAATTAGCACCAATATTAGGTCATCACTAGGGATTAGAAACGAACCATTAATCCAAAGGCCGCCTTCGTGGTCAACCTCATCACTGAATTATCGGTTTCCCTCAGTAGGGCATCATGAACAATTCCCCAATAGATTACCTCCGTATTTTGATCATAGGACAAAGATGTTGGAGGGTTTTCAAGGTAACAGTACAAATACTAGTGTTGGTTTTGGTTCTCCTGCAATGGCAACTGCAGCTTCGCCCTCTTCTCGATATGAAGGTTGCCCAGGAGCTCCTCATGATTTTTTTGGAGCTCCTTCTGGAAATGGAAATCCTACTGCAACCCATAATAATGGGATTGAAGGAGAAAATAGTGCCAATAATATGCTGGCACGGATAGGTGTGGTTCATCCAGAGAACCCTCAAGATACATCCACTGTTGGTCTTGATTTAAATCTCAAGCTTTAATAGTTTACATTGTCTTTCAATTCGTTTACATTTGTGTTTTGATCCGGGATAATATATGTTTTCAATTGGTCATGAAATAAGCAAGAAGCTACATTGTTTTTATTAGCAGTCTATAGTTAGTTTTGAATGGGTACTTGATTATTTAAAGTTCAATGATTATTTGTTATATACAGTCTGATTTTGCATTTGTGTTTTAAGAACACAAGTTCAATTGAACATTTGAACTGACCATCATTTTTCACATCTAAGAAGTTATAAAATTATAAGTGTTTAATATACAGAAACCATATAAATTTACTTTGGTTAGTAACTGAACCGTGTAGGTGTTGAAATCTATCAGATCATCTAGATGAATCTCAACCTTGATGCATCTTGTCTGACTAGTTTTTATTTTTATTTTTATTTGGGACAACGAATTATATTAAAGAACCAACAACCCAGCCGCTAGAATTACACAGGGAGGGGAACACTCAGCTGAGGGATTTATAACACCAGTTTAAAAGAGCATCCTTTTTGCGACTATTAACTCATAAAAACGATGCCATGTGAACCTTGCCACGAGACAGATATGAGAAGTCGCATCTAGGGAGTCCTGCAATTTGAGGTCTCTAAAATTTTATATGGCCCATGTAAACAAAACAAATGACCCTATCCAACAGGGAAGGTAGAGCATATGTAAATCTTGCAAGGTAGCTAGCTGAGGACATGTCTTTCCGCACCCAATTTGGCCGGAATCAACATGTGAGAAAGCCACCTCGAAGGGATATTGATTTGTAAGGAACGAGCAGGGAGAATGTGGTTGTTGGAAATAGGATCAAGTATGTATGTTAATCTTGAAGAGATAAATATTCCAAGTGGTATATGGTTGTCAAAAAGCATTAAGAATAAAGTAGAGACAATTAACTAAAGTATTAGTCTTCTAAATGAAAGAAACGTTTACATTTGGAACGACGGTTACAAAATTGAGCGAAACACTCCTTAAATAGCCTAAAATTACTAATATTAAAAATGATAAAGTAGAATATGCTTTCATAATTAATTAATTATAAGGATTGTCGGGTGTGAATCAACAAGATTTGGACAACAAGGGTTGAACATTTTTTTAATCACGAAAGTTATCCAGCAAAGCAATCTAGTTATCCAACAAAACTATCCAGCTATCCTACCTAGTTATCCAGCCAATTTAAATATCACATTCTCCACTTAAACCAGACAAAGCTCGGTATCCACTATGCCAAATATATTTCGCATTCACCGTGTTTCACGTGTGCCAAATCCTTTGTCAAGATATATGCTCGCAAATCCTTCGAATTCACATATTTTGAGTAGGATTTGTCCATTTTCAACACACTTCATAAGAAGTGAAAGTGAATGTTAATGTGCTTACTTCGAAAGAAAACATTTGATTTTTCATCAAGGAAGATGTTGACATGTTATTGGTATATAAAGTGATAGGCATGGCGTGATATCTCCTAAGTATAGAATTATGAAAATCAACCACAATTTGTGGTTGAACGGTATTCAATATATAATACTGAGTACAATACAAATTTAGGATAATTACCGAATTTAAAGGGATATGCACAATCCTTTACTAAAATACAAATATTCATTTAATAACCCCCGTAAATCAAAAGGGTGATGGGCCAAGACGAAACATGGTATGAGATGTTTCAAATTGAGCCTTTGGCAAAGTCTTCGTGAAGATGATTGGTAGGAACAAACTTGGTGTATAATTTTCTTGATGTAACAAGTTCTCGGATCAAATGATTGTCAAGATCGATATGTTTTGCTCGTTTATGAGAAACTAGATTTTGGGTCATAAATAAGGGACTTTTATTATCACACAAAAGTGTTGGTCGATCTAATGGCACTACTAGAAAAAGGAGGGGTTTCCTACGAATATTTCCGAGGAAAATGAATTTCTCGGTATTACCTACAAATTACCGAAGAAACTCTTAGGAATAATCATAAACGCACATTCCTTGAAAATCCCTTGGAAGTTCCTACACTTTTCTTAGGATCTTTAGAAATAACTAACTTTGCTAGGTATCTCCTTAGTAATATTTTTTTTAACAATTTTTTTCTTGTAACAAAAAAAAATCATGTCGAGTTTAAGTAGAATTTACACTCATTGTTTCTACAATTTTCCTACGAAGATTATTAGTGAAATGTATGTTGGTATAACATATAAAAATGTTTATATATACTTTGTTTTTACTATTTTTTATGTTACTAATGTATGTATGTTTCTTTTAACTTTTTTTTAGCTCTGGGAGTTGGAACAAGCTCATGCTGAATTAACCCGACAAAATGGTGAAATGGACAAAAGACAAGCATAAATGGAAAAATAAATGGAGGAAATGGTTTAGTTCATGAGAAGATATGATGTTAATAACCGTCCCGACAATCCATCGAATGCTCCATCAAATACACCTTAGGTTATTTGTTGTAAACTTTTGCATTGTTTTAGAACTTTAAATTACACGATTGTTAAAACTTATGCTCAATAGTACACGTAATTGGAACGACGAGTCTCTAGACAGCATGCCCAATCAGCATCGGAGGATCCTAAAAGGAGATTTTTTTGAGGACGAGTAAAGGTAAGACGAAATGATACAGTGCCTTTGACATAACGTAATATCCACTTGACTGATTGAAAATGAGTAATGGTTGGAGCATGAAGAAATTGACTTACCTAATTAACAGAGTAAGACAAATCTTGTCTGGTAATGGTCAAATATTGCAGTGCCCCAAAAAGTGATCGATAAAGAGTGGGATGGGAAAATAGAACACCATATAAAGAGAAAGACTCATGAGGAGCAAGAGGAGTAGGAGCCGAATTGGAGTCAATGAGACCATCACGTTGAAGAATGTCATGAGCATACTTAAACTAAGTCAAAAACAACCCATCATCAGTATACGCAACCTCGAGACCCAAAAAATAATTAAGATCTCCCTGATCCTTAATTGAAAATTCACGATGAAGCTTTGAAATAAAGGTAGAGATAATGGACTCGTTTTTTCCAGTGAGGATGAGATCATGAACATAAATGAGTAAGTACATGATGCTGAGTTTTGTGCATATATAAAAAGGGACGTGTCAACACGACTGCAGGTGAAGCCGTAAGTGGTCAAAATCATACTTAGGCATTGAAACCAAGCACGAGGAGCTTGTATTAGACTATACAAGGCTTTTAATAACTTAAGCACGTGTTTTGGAAACTAAGGATTTAGGAAATCGGGAGGCAGGTCCATAAAAACTGTCTTATTTAAGTGTCCATTCAAGAATGCATTCCTGACATCAAACTGGTGCAGTTTCCTTCCATTTAGCACATCAAGAGATAGGAAAATACGAACAGTTACGACCTTAACAATAAGGCTAAAGGTATGCGAATAATCTAGCCTCGGTATTTATGTAAAACCTTGGGCCACCAAACGGGCTTTATAATGCTGAATGGTTCCATCAGAATCGTACTTGATACAAAATACCCATTTTGAGCCAACAACATTAGATGAATCTGGAAGAGGAACCAATATCCAGGTGTTGGTGAGTTTCAAAGCATCCATTTCCTCACACATGCCAACCATCCATTGAGGATTCATGGAAACTGAGTTGAAACCTCTTGGCTTAGTTGCAGATTAAAGAATATGAAGAGGATTGGTTGTAAGAAATGCAAGATCATTCATATTTTTAGGTTTGAAGATATATGCTTTTGCCTGAGTAACAACATGGTGCAAAGAATAGGAAACAGGTTAAGAGGTGGCTGGATTGGAAGCCAATGGTGATGGGATGGACGACAGTGAAATGGGATGAGCTTGAGAGATCGGTGTATTCTGGACCTGAGGAATATCAGCTAATGTTGGATGTCTTTAGGCTAAGCTGATAAGTTTTGTTTGGGGTAATAGGGAGGTGGAAGGTGTGGTGGGAGTTATGTTAGGTGTAGGTAAAGGAGTAGTGGGTTGATTGAGAGAACAAAGAGAAGTATCTATAGGTTGAAAGGATGTAATGAGATGAGAAGTAAGTGATAAGGGAAAATTCAGTATGGGAAAAGGCTGATATTCCATAAATGTTCATAAATCCAATGCATATATATTTTGTGAATAATCAGATCTAGCAAAAGGAAAAACATTATCATCAAATAGAGCATCTTGTGTGTTGTAGATGCGCATGAGGATTGGATCAATACACTTGTAACCTTTGTATTGAGTGCTATATCCCATAAATACACATGGGATGCTTTTTGTAGCAAGCTTATTTTGAGAATAGGCACATAAATACAAGAAAACTCGACAACAAAATGCAGGAAATTGACCATGTTGAGGTGGTTGACAATAAAGCAATTCAAAAGGACTTGTGTTATGTAACAACTTAGTGGGTAAATGGTTAATGATAAATGTTTCAAAACTAAAAGCGTCCACCCAATAAGTTGTAGGAAGATAAGCATTGAAAAGCATAGCAAGACCCGTTTCAACAATATGCCTATGTTTTCTTTCATCACAGTTGGTTTCTTTTTGGCGTGTAAGGATAAGAGAAACGTTGAAATGTATCATTATCCTTAAAGATCTTCAAACAATATGATTAACAAATTCCGATCCACCATCACTTTTGAAAACGTTTATCTATCATGAACATTGAGTTTGAAAACCTTTGATAAATGTAGCGAGAACCGAACAAAAACTTGTCATTGTTTTTAAAAGAGAAAACCAAGTAAAACATGAATAATCTTCCAAAAAGATAACATAATATAAGTAACCATCTTGAGAACAAATGGGAGAGTGTCCATACAAATCACAATGTACAAGATCTAGAGGCCACAAAGCACATTTTGCATTAATCTCAAAAGATAGTTTATGTCCTTCGGAAAGTTTGCAATAGGTGAAAATATGGGGTTTAGGCAAAACCAAAGTCACAGATAAAGCCCCCAATTTATTTAAAACTGAAATGACATCAAAAGGAAGTGTGCCACAACTCGTAAGATGCTCAATTTGTAACACCA